AGTAGGAAAGAGATGAGTCCGAGGTAACCTTTCGAAAGTAAAACAACAAACAAACAAAAATACCTCTGTTGGGTTTGTTTTTTATTGTTGCTTGTGGTGGTTGTTGTCTTTCATTTGTTTGATGATAATATGCTCGGTGCTGGTCAAGGTATGATAAGAAATTCCTACTGTTGATGGGAAAGCAGTTTAATCAAATATTTTTGTTTTGTGTTTTGTTGTTTTTGAGACAGGGTTTCATTGTGTAGTTCAGGCTGACCACCCACAACTCACTGTATAGCTCAGGCTGGCCTTGAACTCTCAGCAGTCCTCCTGCCTCAGCCTCCAAACTGTTAGAATTACAGGTGTGCGCCACCACAACCTGCTTGCTAGAATCTTTTTGAAAACTATTTGGCAGTTTAAGCAAACAAAATGTGGAATCGACAAGGACAATAAACCATGTATTTTTAAAAAAGAAAGAAAACAGGATGCATCAAAATGTAACTCCTGACTTTTGACCCACTGATTTTACTTCCAGGAATTTATGCTAAGGAAACAATTGGTGACCCAGGCAGTGATCCACTATGGGGACTTGATTGCAGTGCCATTTATGATAGCTAAAGAGTAGTGGTAATGTGAACATACACAGTAAGAGGACAGGTACGTGAGTCAGGGTGGACTGTATAATAGGATGTCCTCTAGCCATTTATAAATGTAGTATCAAAAGCTCTTGAGTAACATTGTAAAATCTTTTATTAAGCAATTTTAAAAACATGCTGTTAACTCTGTAATAACATACCCCTTGAAAAGTGAGGAAAAATATAATATATTGATAGTGATTTCCAGGGGTATTCATTATGTATGACTTTGTTGCTTTTGCTCTTACTTTTCAGTATTTTTCAGTTTTCTACAAAGCCTCCTAGAATTTTGCTTATCTGAATTTAGAAAGATTAATTTGCTTCTATATGTTGAGTTTTCCTCTCCAGTGAGAGCACGTCTCATCTTGTACTAGCTCCACAGTCATGGCAGGGAGAACAGAGAGGGTCGACCATGTCCATCATCAGCTGGGGAGCCTTCCTACATTTCACTGTCCACAGCATGGCAGGCATGACCTGGCTGCTGCACCAGGCATCCCTTCATTCTGGTACGTCACCACAGAAGGGTGTCAGGCTGACGAGGTTGCTACATACTGTACTTGAACTATCAGCCACAAGCCTGCATGCTGCCAAGCCGTTAGCCTTATCTTCCTGTCCTGTTATTCTTTCCCTGTCCAGCAAATGGCAAAGGAACTAACTGGGACAGTCTGACTCCTTTTGAGGAGATGGTAAGCCAACAAGCTACAGGTAATGCAAGCCTTCCAACTGAATGCAAACCAGACCAGCAAATGTTCCTTCCATGCTAAAGTCCAAGCTGCTCTTGTTGCTGTCGATGGGCCTGGTTGAGAGGGCTTGGGAGGACCAGCTCCCAGGAGTACATAGGGCAAAAAGTGTTCGAGGGCATTCAGCTCAGACACACCCAGCTAGACAGAGAATCACAGAGAAGCTTCTAGGGGTCATCTACTGGAATTGTAGTTAGAAAGTTATTTCCTCCTATCTTAACCACAATCACTTGTTATCTTTGGCCTCACTAGTGGGGAAAAAAGGTTGAGACGTATCAGAAGGATTAGAACCAAAAGGTTCTTTTTCTTTTTCTTTTCTTTTTTTCTTTTTTTTTTTTTTTTGCCTATTTTGTTAATGGAGTTATATGGAGCAAGATTTCTTTTTTCGATTGTTGTCATTTTGAGATTATACAGTCTTGGACTATTAATCATGATTTGTGTGCCTCTTTTATCCTAGTGTAATACATGAGTTGTATCAAAACTAAAATACTAAAATACAATTTGCTTTGTCTCTTAGAGGACTATTTATGTATACACAGGTCTTCTGTTGCTATGAGCATCAGTGTAAAATATGAAAAATGCAATATCATTGATAGTGACATTTATATATCTCTCAAGAACAAATGAATAAAAGACATAATTCTTTTAGTTCAAAAAATCATGGAAGGGCTGGTGAGATGGCTCAGTGGTCTAAAGCACCTACTTAGAACAAGCTTAGCAAAGCACAGGGACCGCGGTTCAATCCCCCAGCACCACATGCCAGCCAGCCCCGCCCCCTGGTGGGCTGAGCTGGCCACACACACACACACACACACACACACACACATAAATAAATAAATAAAATTTTTAAAAAATCATGGAAGTACTAGGGAGTGTTCATTTTATTGTTACACTAACTCAAAAATAGTTCAATAAATTTTAAATTGTGGTCATTTCAGAGCAAATAAATGTTATTGCTATTACTAAGACACAAACAAATGAAGTTCTATGGGTTGTTAAAATTGTTAGCTGATACTATGGACAGTTGCCATGGGGACTGAGCAGTAACTGCTTACCATGGTCATGAATACCCTGCATTCCAGCTGCACTCCTAGATAATTTTAGCCATGTTCTACTGGCCAAGAGCCACTTAGCCTTCTGTCCCTCTCTAGGACAGGAGCTTTCTTTCCCCCCAGTAAATATATTCTGCTTATAAAAAAGAAAAAAATCTCAGGAAGTGAAAAAATGCTCAGAACCCACATTGTGTTCCCTGGCCTGTGTTCCCCACTATGCTTATACTTAAAGGCACCATTCTTGGTTTTGATGTGATAGGAATCTTAGAGGTGTTTCCTATACGTGACAGTTATTTTGAACTTTAACTGTCCTGTGGTAACCATGATCAATGGAAGAAATTAATCCAGTCCCGAGCAACAGGGCTGTTCTCTTGAAACTCCAAGTCCCTCCTGGTCAGGCTCTGGTTCCTGAGCTGTGCTGCAGTGAAGGACTGATGCTAACCTTGCCTAGTGGGACATTGTCTTGTGGGCAGAGTCACAGAGAGAGGAGTGACCTCCCTGGCCATCATAGTGCTACAGGTCCTACAGTGGGTACGAGGCAGCACTGCTCCCAGCCTTAAGATGGAATCAACCAGAGCAGATACTACACTAATAACAGAGCACCTTGCTTCTCTGCTGATAGATCTTACTGACCTATATTATAGTTGAACTATTTCTTTAAAGTGTCCCACACTGTCAAAAATATGTTAAAGTCTTTGAAGTCAGAGACACTGAAAATTCGATTTATTGTGTTGATTAGTCTAGGTGCTCTATCACCGGTCTTTGCTGGATTGAGGGGGAAAATTAAATACATACTCTATAAATTTAATTTCTCCCCTCATATGAATTCCATCTGCTATGTGAATCTGCCAGGCAGAACACTGGAGGCTGGATTGTGGAGTTTATTGGAATTTACAATGTGTTGAACGTTATTGAACCTCTCTGTAGCTGTACTTCTGTGTTCCCTTTAAAATGTGGTAAGCATCTAAAGGCAACTCATAAATCAGTGGTTAAGAAGATTGCTAATGCTATGGATTGGCCTGCAATGAAGGTTGGCACAGCCTAGAGGAACAGAGGAAGCCTTACTGTCCCTCCATCCTGGTAACGAGAGCCCTGGGCTTGGGCCTGAGGGTTGGGATTCCAACTGTGTCCTCATCACTTAAAGGCTGGGTGTCCCCAGGCAAGCCTCGCCTTAGTCCAAGCTTTCATACCTGTAAATGGAAGTTTTAATATTGCCTGTTTGTGGGATGACTGGGTGGATTAAGGAGGTTCATTAACTTATTGGTTCTTTATTGAATACTAACAGGCACTATTTTAAACTTTGGAGGTACAACAGTAAGCAAAAGAGCAAAAGTCTCTACTCTTGGGGATTTGTATTCTAGAAATGTGATATAGTAATGTCATTGAATAAATGCTTAATCATCTGTAGTTACCGGACATACATACACAAAGAGATCTTACTGTATGTGCCCACAGGTCTTTAGGTAGGCAGTCTGTAATTAGAACCATTACTGGGTCTCATGTTGGTACTGGTGTAACCCTGCGGAAGTCCTGTTAGGTAGGATATTTGTGTGTTCCTGCTAAATCCAAGTCTGCTTAAAGATTGGTTCCCCTTGAATTGGATTTTATCGTTTTCACCTCCATGAAGAGCTTGGACTGAATAGTCCAGCAGCTGGCCACGCTCCAGTTGCTACAGGTGGTGTTGGGGTGGATGGTTTCCATATCTTCTTAGCTATTGTGTTTGCACTATGTATGGTTTAATGTGATTTCATGGAGTTGCTAAGGTGTTTGTTTAATTTGTAGAAATTAGTCAAAGAGCTAGTGTAACCAGTTAAAATCCACACACCATCTTTTAGTCAGAAATTTCAACCTTTCCTCTCTAAACCTTTTATCAACTACCCATCAAAGACCAAAATAGACACATTTAAGGTTTCTGTTCTTTTTTTCTTGATTGCCTTCCTACTAGGGCCTTTTCTTTGAGAATCAGAATGTCCTAAGTTCATGAAGGAGAAGGGTCAGGCCTAGACAGCAAACCACCAAAGAACTGCACACTGCCAGTAATTGTGTGTAGTCTCCTGCCTAGTATATGTTCATATCTGTGCCATGAGTCTAATACAGAGCTTTGGTTCTCCAATGGCAAACAGCCCATTTAGTTAAAAATGTAAACAGGACATTGTTTTCTAGCTGAATGGCCTTTGTGGCCCAGAGAAATTGTCATTTCTGCTGAGACATAATTTTAAAATACTCACACAACAGTGGGAGCTGAAGGCTGCTGATAAGCCCGTCTGTTTAAGAACCAGGCTGGTGAGAGGATGTGCGTGCTGGAGTTCATGCACATGAGGTACAGTGCACGTGGTTGAAGATGCTCCTGTCACCCAGAGTTAGTTCTTCAGGATAAAGAAACAAGTCTGTGCTTCAAGGACTCCCAGAACATGGACACCTTGGAAGACGTGGAGGTCTGGTCTGGAGAAGCCTGACCTGGCGCTGCCGCTTGTCCCGGGGTTTCAGCGCCCCCATGCTCTGCCCCAGCACCCTATCATTTGGCCTCCCATGAACCTCCTCCTGTTGTGGTTTCCCTGTGTGCTGACAAGTTTTCTGGTTATTCTGTCTTGCAGCCCCCCGAATCCAAGCCCAACTTCACCCCTCTCGCCATCTTGGCCCATGTTCTCGGCACCATCCAGCCCTATGCCCACCTCATCCACGTCCAGCGACTCATCCCCCGTCAGGTCTGTGGCAGAGTTTGTTTGGTTTTCTGTTGCTGCTGTTGTTCTCTCATTGGCTTGATCCTCTCTTCATGCAGTGTTCAGCCTCGTCAACTTTGTTCCCTGCCATCCAAACCTGCACTTGCTTTTTGACAGGCCAGAAGAAGCTGTTCGTGGAGATTCCAGGTAAAGCCACAGATGATGCCCAATCTTCTCCCACTTATCCAAAGCTGGTCAGGGACAGCAGGGACCTCCTCTGCTCGCATGTGGTTCCATCCTAAGAGACCAAAGCCAAGAGGGGCCATTTTATGAGCCCACGTGATGTTTTTCACTCCTTTTCTAACCCAAATGCAAGCTTCAATAAGATGCTTTTTTAGATGGCTCTTAGTCATCTGGGCCATCCGTGTTGATGTCAGATAGTACGAAGGAACAGTATTGAGATGTGCGCTGGCCTGTTCTCTCATTTATCAGGTAACATCAGGCAGTGTGTCCCGAGTGCTGACACAGTCTCTCTGCAGATTCACGGGGTGAGAGACGAATGTAGCAGAGTAAAAGTGAGACAGGAAGCAGTTTCTCTTTAAATTGATCATGGCTTTTCCCTCTGGCCTGCTCTACTCCAGAAGTCATCTGGCCTCCCAGGCTGCTTCTGTCTCTGTGCGTCATGACCCTGAGAGCTGCGGGAAGAGGCACCACCTTACCAAGGGCGAGCAGCCTGACCAGGTTCTTCTCCCCAGGGGCTGTGCTGTGTGGTTTTTCCCTGTCCTGGTGACTTGACTTAAGTTCTTTGCTCTTGAGCTCTTTGTAGAAAAGAAGCTCTTCAAATCCAGGGGGGAAAGTAAAGATCCTGCAACATCCATCAGCTGTGTAGGACCTGAGCATGAGTGGTTCTTGAAGTAGGCCCTGCTTCGATAACCAAGCTGTACAGCCCAGTTATAAATATCAGAAGCATTTTGGGCTTCGGCAGTATTTTCTTATCTGTCTATTCTGCAAAGAGGTGGGCCAAGTAGACAGGCCTAAAAAATTTATAAAGCTGACTCACTTTTATATATATATATATATATATATATATATATATATATAAAATTTATATATATATATATATATATATATATATATCCCTATTCCTATAGAGAGCTGTGCTATATATAGCTGTGAGATATATAGATATATATATATGTATATCAATTTAAAATTTAAATTTAATTCCCATCCATTTTCACATCTATCAGTTCATGCTATCCTCACATAAGAATCAGAAGAGAAATGGCATAAGCCCTATTATACAAAAAGGATACTAGGGTACAGAAGCACCCAGGACATGGTCACATGACAAAATGAGAGCCATGCAGAGTTCAGGAGCCTTCCTCCTTAGCCCAGCACTCAGGCCTCCAAACCCCAGCTTTAAATTCCCTGGCAGCTTCCAGGCCTAGGTCTGGCTGCCATATCAATCTTTGTTCCAGACGATGGGAAAGATAGCTTTTCAATATTTTTCCTCATTATATAAATAGAAAAATCCAAATCCTATTTCTTTGACATTCAACTGATTTCTTAATTATTTCATAGACAACTTCTAGGTACTTTGGGAGACATTTGTTTTCTAGGATACCAGAGATGGTAAGGATTATTCTCTTGAGAGCTGTTACTGCCACATGAGACCCCCACACCAGATCAAATTACAGTGACAATCATCTTTCTTTCTTTCTTTCTTTTTTTTTTTTTTTTTTTTTTTTTTTTTTTTTTTGTGGAACCAGGGATTGAACTCAGGCCTTTGCGCTTGCCAGGGAAGCACTTATTCTACTGAGCCATCTCCCCAGCCCGACAGTCATCTTTCAGAAGTGCCTCACTCACTCACTGGGGAGACATGAATATTAGGAGAATGTGGCTCGTTCATTTTAACCAAAAATAGTAAAATTTTCAAAACATTGGCCTCTTGACTCATGACAGTGGACTCAATCAGCTAAAAAATGGAATATACTCTATCCCGATAGTATTTAATTTTTCATGTCCCTTAGCCCTTTACTTGTCAAGTACCTGCCTCTCCACTCCCAGGTCCTAGAATAATGATAGATCCCCTGCCCCCATTTCAGGTACTCCTTTCTACCTCCCTGTGTATTTCCAATTGGCAGAGAATATAAGTATTTTTTGTTGTTTGTTTTGTGCTGTTGGGGGCCAAACCCAGGACCTTGTGTGTGTAAGGCACGAGCTCTACCACTGAGCCCCATCCCTAGCCCCAGACAGCTGTAATAGACTCTTGGCACTGCCCCCTGTGGTCATTGTTAGAATCACACCGTTTGGAGGATGCTGCCCTACAGCCCTTCAGAAGTTGCCATTTTGGTAAAAGCAAGGGAGAAGAAGGGTGGGAATGAGCTGTCACTGAGCGAAATGTATGTGCCAGAGTGAGCAACACCAGAACACTGCAGGGGAGTCAGCCCACCAGAGGAACTGAGAGGACCATGGTCCCCCAGTGACTGTTGCAGTGTGCAGTCGAGAGGTATGGGTATATACCCATCGTTCAGGTCCACGCGGTCCTTTCCCCAAATCTACTTCCAGAACATGAAACTTCATGTTTCCTTCCCTGGGCAAAGCTTTTAAAAATAAATATTGAGTAAGACCTAATAAATGGTCGCATGAACTTCTACATGGTGAAGTGGCTTTCCCTCCCCTTTTCATACCATTTTTAGAACTTGTTGGTTCATGCTCAGGAATGAAAATGCTTTTTGCAGCACAGAAGAGCAAGGTTGTTAGCAAAGCATCTTGTTTCCCTTCTTTCTGTAGCCCACACACCTGTGAGGAAGCCCCCAGCCCCACAGCCATAGTGTGCATTTGCACATGGATCTGGCAGTTGTGCCTTCATGAGCAGGTCCTTGCAGCCTGCCAGTGTAGCCAGCCCCTCCTCTGATAGTGCACGTACTGGAGAGTGCTTGTCATTCTGCAAGCTTGCAAGGGCATTTGAGGGAAAGTCCTCTGAGTGCTTGTCTGGCCTCATGCCATGCTTAGAGGCAAAAATGAACAGTGAACCAGCAGAAAGACCCACACTTGCTCACGCCCTTGAAGGCCTACCTGAGGGCTGAAGGGTGCTGAGACCGAAGCAGCCAAACTTCCCCTGCTCTCTGTGTTTGGTCTTGAAGCTCACTGCAGAGAGTAAGGACCCAAAGAAGCACAGGTGCTTGGTGCAGGATTTTTACTTCTTTAATCAGAGCCAAAGCCCACAAATATGACCCTTGGGCTAACAGAATCTGTCCGTTTGGGTAGGAACCTTACGTAAAGCAAACTCCTCAAGCATTTTGAGAGGGAGCTAAAAGATAAGGCCGTACCAAAGACTGGCGGTCACCTGTTAAGGGGAAGAATGTCCCTGGACCTTTGTTTTATTTTTAGTGATTATTTTCTTGTTACTTCATTATTCAATTCCAATCACCAGATATTAGTGGAAAGTTGCTTTTTTTGGATGATCATATTGGGATGGGGTTGGGTACAATCAATTAAGTTTGAGTTCAGATAAATAGGAAGTCATGTCTTAGCATGTGTATGTCCCATGCAATCTTTTGGATATGCATATATCAAAAACATACTATTTATCTGAAATTCAGATTTAACTCAGTGTCATCTATTTTGTCTGGCAGTGCTACTCTTGGGAACAGGAATGCTCCCTTTTAAAAGCATCCCCTCAAGGGCTGAGATGTGGCTTAGTGACAGAGCACCTGCCTAGCATGCACAACACTCTGGATTCCATCCCCAGCACCACCACACACACACAGATAATAACTCATAATAAAAGCAGCTTTTCTGTCATCGTTCCCTTTCCCCCCCCCCCACATCCTGAAGGAGCAGAGGGAAGTCTCTGGGAGAGACTGGCAGTCACCTACTAAGGGGGAGAGTGTCCCCTACCCTTGTTTTTATCTTATTTTCTTGTTACTTCATTATTCAATTCCAAGCACCTCATATTAATAGAAAGTTACTTCTTTAAATGATCATCTTAGCACCAAGATCATTCCCTGTGCTTTCTGCCTGCTAAATCCCCTAGTTGGTTTCTCTGGTTTGTCCCTGTTTTGTCCCATTTCCTTTATTTAAAGAGGTTAATAAATAAGCTCTACAAAAACCCACCCAGAGGATCCTTGCCTTCCCTTGTCTCTGCACTTCACCCACCTGCTCTGCCCTGTGGTCAAGGGCCCTGGAAACTTGGTCTCCAGACCTGTGGCCTGGGTCCTCCTGCTACCTCTGTGCCATGACGGCTCCCTTGCCTGCCAGCATAGGGTTCTGGCTGCTCTGGCACTTTCTACAGCCAGATGCTTCCTCTTCTCTGCTCCCCGCCCATTAAAGAAAAAGTGTCCCCTCCTTTGGAAATTTGCACATTGAATGTTTGATCATTCCCACCCAATGGGTAGATTTGGGTTCATTAGATTACAGAAAATTCCTCTTGTCTCAAGCTTTACTCTAAAAATAACTAGAAGAAAGACCTGTTTTCCAGTTCAAGTTGATGAATACGAAAGACCTTGTCCTTCATTCCCAGTGGCCCCTTTAATTTTCTTTCATTTCTCCAATATTCTCCCACCTGGCCATCATCTCTTAGCTACTAGAATATCAAAGAGAACAACAGTAAACTTGTTTCCCTGACAACAAATTCTGGATAATCATTTACTCACCCTACTGTACAACAGTCTCTGATTTGGTTTGATTTTTTTTTTTTTCCATTTTCTTGGATCCAAGACTGGAAGGTTTAGGTCCTTGGATCTGCTCTAGGTTTCCATTCATCCAGTCCTTTCCCGGAGGAAGGCTGCACTTATGATGCCAAGAAATAACAGTTCCACAATGACCCAAGGTGTCCTCTCAGCTGATTCTATGTGGCCTTACCTGAGACCAGACTTCTGTTCAGCTGAGTCTCATCCAGCCACTAGAAATCAGTGTACCAGGAGCTTAAGCACTGCTGGCTCCTTGAGTCATTCCATGAGTCAGGCGAAGATGAAAGCAATGACATGTATCCCTCAATCATTTGCTACCCAGGGGACTTTTAAAAATTCTGCCTCTGAGGCCTTTAGTGAACTGCCTCAGATGCCCCACAGGAAGGAGATCACATGTGGCAAATAAAGAGCCCTTGGAAGGTCTATAGACTATTTGGAAGTAGTTGGATATCATAGCTGCAATCTGCAGAAGCTAACAGGACTTTACTAGTTCTTAAAACTTAACTTGCTAGAACACAGGTTAACACGCCGTGGCTGGCTGGGTCAAATCTAGCCCTCTGCCGGTTTTTTATAAACAATGTTTTATTGAAATACAGCTACACTGATTCATTTACATTTGCTCTGGGGCTGCTAATGCGCTGCAGTGCTGCCTTGAGTAGTTGCGGTAAAGCCCATATGGCCCACAAAGCCTGAAAGAGTTACTGTCTGGCTCTTTGCAGAAGAAGTTTGCCAATTTTTGCTCAGCCGTGGTTGTATTGAGAATCGTTGCAGAGTGATGGCCACCCGGTATTGTGAAGTCCTGGTCTCTGTGTTTGTTTCTGCAAGTTAGAACCTAGACATCTGCAGGCTTTAGATGTGCCCCAGTTGATTCTGATGCACAGTGAAGAGTGGTTATCAACATTTATGGGCATGAGGACAGAGAATAAAACCATAACCAAAAGTGCATCATGTCCCCTCGCCTGTCCCTCCTTCCCACATGTCTGCATGCTCATGCACACACATGCGTGATTGCTCACACACACCTTCTCTCCTGCTCCTTGCCCACCCTGGGGGCTGGGGAGTTCCAGCTCTGGAATCCTTCCCCACCAGCAAGACCCAGTCTAATGAGAACTGAGGAACAGCTGGGAGAGCGAATGTCAGCCTGTGGCCTGGAGCTGAAACCTGGCTTTGCTGGAATTGCTCCTTCATTCGCTGAGCCCTGCCAACTTCCAAGAGTGCTGGGAGTGTTCTCCAGAGCAGCTTGGAAGGTCCTTCCTGACCTGTCTTCCTCCCTCCCACAAGGTACTTCTGCTCCAGAAATGAGGTCCAGCCTGCCCTCCCACATTCAGCTGTTGTAACTCCCAGGTAAAGTTTTAATGTGGCACAAGGTGACCCCTCAAGACATGTGCTTTCTCGAAGCTTATGGCTTTGCTCTGAGTAGTTCTCCTTTTTCTCCTGTGACCTTTACAACTTTCCCACTTCATGTTTTAACATCTGGCTGCCTTGCCAGGCTCTTCCCATGAGAGAGGACTAGGTGGCTTGCAAGAACAAGGAAGAAAAGGCATGAAATAGCTAGGACTTTCTTCAGGTTGAGGGAAATATTAAATAAGCTCCTGTTTTCACACAGCACACCGTTCCGGAAGGCAAAGGCCTTGTACGCCTGCAAAGCTGAGCACGACTCGGAACTGTCATTCACAGCAGGCACGGTCTTTGATAATGGTGAGTTTCTCAGCCCCTTGCAAAAATAAGCGGTGGGGTGGGGGGAGCAGATAAGTAACTGGCATTTTTCAGGTTCCTCTCTCAGGAAAAATCTCAGTAGAATAGGTAAGACCAAAACAGGGTGAGTGGGTGAGTGTCTGTCTGTGTATCTGTGTGACAAGACTTCTAGAGACCTTATCAAGAGTTAGATGTTAACAGCAATCCATTTAATTGCTAGGAACATGCAGTGAGTTTCAACCCAGTACCTGGCATAGCAGGCAGTTACTTTAAGAATCTGGGGCCTGGACAGAGGTTAAGAGAGAAAGGAATGGAGGGCAGGGACAGGCTGCAGTTGGTCAGGTCAGGGTGAACAGCTCGGAACCACCTGCTCAGTGCCCTTTTCTTCGATTTGGTGGACCTGCCCTCCTAGCAGGTGAGGTGGATTTTCCAGATGGCAGCCCTTGACAAGCTCTGAGTTCCTTGGGTTTGTGTTCATCATTCTTCCCCTCTGGGACCATAAGGTGGACGGCCCCACTGCTCTGTCACCCTCTACACCACCAGATGCTCTGCTTCACTTTCTGGTGTTAGCACAGCATCATGATTCCTCCTAGAAGTAGGATCTTGTGTCTGCTTAATGCACAGTTTGTTGTGTGCCCTTTTGCCTTCCTCTTTAAAAATACATGTTTAAATGACAACAGGTATGATAATTGCCATGACTTTATCTTTAACTACAAGGAAAATCTGTATCCTGTTGATACTCCCAAATTGCTGTGGCAGCTGAGTTCTTCTAATTTAAGAAGGTGAAGTTCTCCTAATTTAAGATTAGGACTCCTGGTTTCATGGGAGAGAGGCTATAGTATGTTTTCCTCAAAGTAGAGAGCAGAGCCAACTGCAAGGTTTCAGAAGCTGGCTTTTTCTCAGGCTACTTCCCTGGCCCGCCTTCTTCATGCGGCTGTAGCCCTACCCAGGGCTGGGCCCCACCCCTCCCACCTGACAGAGCCAGCCACACTGGCAGCCACTGAGTCTGTGTATCACCTGAGAGCCTGATCTGTAGAACGAGGCCAAGGTACGAGTCCCTGCTTGACCATTTGCTCTTCTGTGACCTCAAGCATTGGCAGCCTGTCTGTGCCCTAGTTCTCTCCTATGTCATGGAAACATAACTCTGCCTACCTCAGAGGGCATCATGAGGAAGAAATCCAGATGATATGCATCACATGGATAGAACAAATACTAAGCATGTAACGTGTTCTACTTGCTAGGATCATCGTCATCATCATCATGCCCATATTAGGAAAAGAACTGACACTAATAGTTCATAAAGACAATGTTTCATTTTTGGCTGATGTGGCCCAGACCTGGCTTCCCACCCAGCAGTAGGTGCTATGCTTTGATTCCCTGGGTCTTGGCTGTCTGGAAGGCCTTACATTCCAAGCCAGAGGAGCATGGACTCCTGGGCACCAGCCTTTACTTAATCCACATTCAGTAGGGCTGCACAGTAGTGGTGTCATTAACCAGGTGTGGGAAAACAGGGCACAAAGGACAGGGAATTCCAGCTGGAGTTAGAGTGATCTTAAAACGGCATGTGGCCTGCTGAGTGTGTGTCCCCTTTACAGTTCTCCGAGCTTTCAGTGCACTATCCTGGAACCTTTCCATCATCACTGTCTACTTGGGTGTGTCCCAAGTCACTGCAGATCAGGTAGCCCAGACACTCTTGTCAGCAGCTGCTGCTCTCAGGCCCTGGCAGGCTGGCAGGTGCAGTGGGTCTGCTGAAGGCTGTCCAAAATCATGTCATTGGTGAGTGTCCCTTGCATAGACTTAGGCGGGGGAGCACGGGGCCATGGCATGACACAGCTTTCCCAACAGGCAGACCTGAGCAAGCTGTGTTGTTCAGGGCTTCTGTGTCCTGCCATCGGCAGGGAGGGGCTTCTGCCCATAGAGAGAAGGGCGGGAGAGAGCCGCACATTTCTAGGTGAGCCCAGGGCTTGGGGCTCTGTCCACTAAGTTCCAGCTTACTGCTCACACAGCAAGGGAGCACCGTGTTCCTATCAACTGTTCACTGTGACCACACAGAAGACCCCTGATAGGGTGGGTTAGACTATCAAAAGGTATGCATGCCTGTGCTTGTGTGTCTTATCTGTGACTCCTTTTATTGAATACAGCCTTCTTCCACTTTTTAATGGCTTGAGATACCCTCATGCCACACATACAATTTACCCATTTAAAATGTACAACGCAGTGTGTTTAGTAGGTTCAGAGTTGTGCAGCTAGCACCAGTATCTAGTTCCAGGATATTTTTACCTTCCTGCTTTCACCCTTTCACGGTCAGGCCCCATTTTCCACTAACCCTCTTCCATCTGTAGTCCAGGGGAACCACTCATCTGCTCTGTGTCTTTAGATTTGCCTGCTCTGGACATTTCATGCAAAAAGAATTATAAGCATGTCTTTATAACAGACTTTCTTCACTTTGTATGATGTTTCTAAGATTGATTCTTGTGGAACTTCATGCCTTTTTATGGCTGAATAACTCCTTTGTGTGGATATACAGTTCATGTAAACATTTGTCAGTTGGTGGATATCTTAATTATTCCCACTTTTGACTGGTATGAACAATGCCATTGTGCATGGTCACAAGGTCTTGACACCGTCTGCTTTCAGTTATCTTGAGGGTATACCTAGGAGTGGGATTCCTGGGCCAGAGCAGCTCTAGGTTTAACCGTTGGAGGAAATGCCATATGGTTTTACAAAGAGGGTACACCAGCTAATATTCCCACCCACTGAAACTTTTATTTTCTTTTTTAAGTAGTTTAGGTAATTTTAATGAAGAAAAGCTACCTAGATATTTCTACCTACCAATCCTTTCCTCCCTTGCAGAGTGCTGCATCTAGCAGACCCTAAGCTCGCTGCCCCGCGACAGCCTGGTCATAGTCGCGTGTCCCCTCATAGTAAATGAGAGCAGGAGGGGGGCCTGGGTGAGCGAATGAGCGCGCTTCCGAGGCGTCATGGCAGAGGTCACTGACGCGTTTGCTTCTGATCAGCCCTGCCGGCACTGTTTCAGGTTCCCCCAAGAGCAGGGCCAAATTAAACCCCAAAGGAAGTACTGCCTGGTATTGAGTGAGCTGCAGTCTGGGAGGATCTGAAGAATGTTAATCCAGTTTCTAGGTCAGTTTGAGGGAGAGTTTATGAGTTCCTACTTTTAAAGGAAAAGGCTACATGTGCCTGTTTCCCGTCTCCTCATCTGGAGGAGAAATAGTTACTACAATGTTAGGTAAGGGGTCCTTTTCCTTGTATTTCTCATTAGTTTAGTGCTGGAGACATGAGGTAAGGGCTGCTTGACTTAGGTGCTCTGTCGTCAGATGGATCAGAAGCAAGTGTCTGAATGACAGGTTTAGATAGCACATGTATACAATCCTGTGTATGTAGTATGTGTTGTGTTTTGTATGTTTTACTTTTTAGAAATAGGGAGGAGGAGGACGAGGAAGTAGGGAGGGGCCCACAAAGCTCAAAGTCTTGTCCTGTGAGGATTAGTCTCCCAGCTTGGGGTTCCGGGGGCCTGTGCCAGGACCGGAGCAGCTGCTGAGTCAGGCCCTGGACTTTGTGCCCTGGGGACGAGTGTGCAATACTTAGAACTAACTCTGGTGTCAACCCTTGCCCATGTACTAGGAAATGGCTCGCTTCACCAAGAGCACCTCACATAGTAAACGGAAAGAGAACTCATGTGCTCAGGAGGATTAGTCATCCCAGAGCAACACAGTTATACCTGGAAAACTCCGGTGGACCTCACTAAAGCTGACTTCTTGGGATCCTTTTGTCTAGATGTGAGGCACACTAGGTACCTTCATTACTGTGTGCAGGGCAACCCTGGTGCTGGCAAGGGCTGTTCCAAGGTCTCATGGTAGGAAGCAACTTCACCAGGGAGCCCGGAACTGCTAGAACGGGGGTGGTGGGAGAGCTCCTGAAGGCAGCCTCAGTATCCTTGCTGTCTCCACTGCCACCCGCACAACCAGGCCACCCCCACCCTGGGGTAGTCCCACCACTGCCTAGCACTTCCACTCCTGTCCCCTCCATCCATTCTCTGTGCAGAGAAAGGTGGAGACCACATCATGTTTCCCTGCTCATGGTATTCCAGTGACCTCCCCTTGCTTTGGGAATTGTCTACAAGGCTCTCCTCAGCCAGGCTTCTGTCTGTCTGTGCCCCCCATCAGCACTTATAACTACATGCTTGGGCCAGGGAGACAACTCAATGGCATAAGCACCTGTCTGGCAAGGGTGAGGTCCAGAGTTCTATCCTAGTACTGCCAACAAAAAAAACCACACTTGTTTAGTGACTGTCCCTCCCCAAGAGCAGAATCTGGCCTGTTTGTTCCATATTAGACACAACAACCTAGCATAGCATCTAGCACATGGCAAGAACTCAGGAGACACTTCTTAAAGGAGAGAAAACATTTTCATTACACAAATGTCTGAAGCTCTTACAGTGAGGACTTCATCTGGGGACAGTGAGCCACTAAAGATCTTCATCGCATGTTAGCTCCTTGGCCTCAGTGAGCCGAGGTGGGGAGAAAGCTGTGAGTTGTGCATGCAGGGATGTGTGGTATGTCTAAGAATACAGCAGAAAGTGGTTGGCAGGAAGCATAGCTGTGTCAGCAGCAGTTTATGTTTATTATATGCTTGCTGGTTGAGAAAGCCACCCAGGCAACTTGCTATATTACGTTGTGTCTTCATACAGTTCACTGACCACTGGGCACAATTTGGCCCCGCAAGCACGTACTGTCTTTGGACTAGGTGAAGGTATAGAGGTGAAGGACACAGACTCTGAGGTGAGACATCCTGGGCTTTGTACCTCCAGGATCTTCCAGCGATGTAACTTGAAGCAAGATACTTAGCCTTTCTGAGCCTCGGGTTCTCCTTAGTGAAATGAGATAGTATCCCTGACTTCGTGGTCACTCAGAAGAAGGGGGAAGGCGTACGGGTGAAGCGCTTATTAGCGGAGGCCATATCAGTGGACACACGTCATTCTTTTACTCAAGGGGCATGTTCTCTGGTGAATTGGGCTGGATATAGCAGGAAACAAAGGGTTAGGTTTCACAAGTCAGACAAGTGAGGTTCAAATTCTGGATTTACCGTTATGACTGTCTCTGAGCCATACGTTCTCATCTGTAAAATAGGAATGATAACAGACAAGGCAGGACTGTGATGATCAAATGAATCAGTATATCTAAAACTCAGAGCACAAGCAGGTTGACAGCATTTCTGAGTGTTGGGTTTTAGTGCTGTATTTCTAGAGGTACAGGGGAACTATTAAGGGCTATCATGCCAGAGTGCTGAAACACAAACCAAAATGCACGGAAAAACTAGATAGAGAAGCAAGCCTCCATCTGGGCAGCTTGTTCTTAGGACCCAAGAATACCATGTGGGCTGTGCTGTGTGCCTTCTAAGAGTCGGGAGGAAGAGGGAAGCAGGCAGAAGTAATTCCATGGCACTATTTCTGAACAAAGTGGGGCTTCAGCTAAGCCTGAAAGTCTGAGGACAGGAAATCGCAGGAGGCAGGGGCATTTAGGGCCCAGATGGCAGTGAAAGCTTAGGTTTTAATTTTTATTGCCACCTTTGTGATCAAGGCATTTTGGCCTAGAAAAGCCATCACTCTTAATTATGCACCAGTTAAAATACAAGTTCCTTGCATGTGACTCAGGAGCCTACAGTTTAAATGAGCACGCAAGTGATGGTGGTGCACGTGGTGTGGTGGGACGCTGAAATAAATCCTGGTTGGCAGACTCCAGCAAGTCAGCAGACTGTCCACTGGCGGCTTTATCCCCTCCACCCATGTGACACCCCCGCAGTTGTAGGGCCTCCCTGGTCCTGTCTGATTCTTCCCTTAGTCTGCATTTCCCATTTCTGATGTGTGTGCATGTTACCAACTCAGTACCTGTGCCTCTGAACTGCTGGCCAGGAAGGGCAAAATGACTGAAGGAGGGCAACTTGGTACAATGCAAAGTAATGACTCGAAGCAGGCCTTGTGGTCCAGTGGCAGGGGCCTTTCTTGCTGTTTATCTTGTACAGTTGGTTGGTTTGTTCTTCTCTAGGTCATTTGTTTTGCTCATGGGTTTGATTTGTTCATTTTGGTTCTAAGTTGCAGTGGATGTGGAGACCTGGTCTTCACCCAGGTTGTACTAGGACAGAGTGGTAAACTGGCCCATGGGACTGGTCAGATCATGGGAAGGCCCCCACCGACTGACTCATAGTTGGGCTTACAGTGTGCCTGGGTTTGTGCAGAGCACTTTATCCATGCTGGCCCCTTTAGTCCTCACAACAACCCACTGAAAGGGAGAGAGTTTATTGTCACAGCTTTATAGGAATGGAAATAGAGTGGTCTTGGCAGCTTGCACTGGGTAGATGGGCAGAGTGTGGTATTTGGGTACATTAGGGAGGTCCAGGAGGTCTTCAGCAACAGGAGAGGCCAGGTTGCTTTGGAGTTGTGTGTATCCTTCCACAGCACTTCTCTGCGCTCTTGTGCGGGTAGCCGTGAATCCATAGTACCCTTGCTACTTTGACTTCAGTATTGAACAAGTGTCGGGAAACCATGCAAGATTTTGGAGACCAACTAATAGCCATTTGACCATGTCTTTTCTAAAGAGGCATTTGAGGTCCACACAGGTTTGGTATTGACCTTCTGTAAGCCTCAGTGTTGGTCTGTTGGCTCCCTTTCATTCCTTTGGTTTCTGTTCTTTCACTACAAGCCTAAACTAGAATTACATAGTAGTGTGGGGACAGAAATGTTTTTCTAAAACAAGCTCAGGAAGTCACTTAATTAGCCCACAAAGGGAACAGGAGAAATTCATTCTCTCCAGTCTTTGGTAATTGGAGTTTTCCTAATACATTAAGAGTAAATGCCTTGCTACACCCCAACGTGATCTATCTCCTACTCGCAAGTGCACGCATCCTCACCTCCTAGCTGTACTATTCCTTCTCTCCCTGCTATTGACTACTTTGCCACAGACTCAGCTGGATTGTTCTATAATCTATATAATATCACAGTGGTTTCCATGGAGATGGATTGTGATGTTGCAGAAATGGATCTATATTCTTTAGATACAGAAAAATCAAAAGGACAGCAGCTTTGACAATCTAAGGAGAAAGAGGAAGAGGACAGCTCTCAGATGTTATATAGGACAGGGGAAATTCTAAAGTACTGGAAAAAAATAAGAAAGGTCTGAGTGGAACAGGAGAGTGTTCAAAAGCTAGAAAACAAAAAACAGAAAGCACAGAAGGATCTTGCAAGGAAATTAGAAGTGGAAGGGAAGGAGTTAAAGGAAAGTAAAACACATAATTAAAAGCTAGATGGCTATAAGGGCTACTTCTTAGTGGTCCTCCACAGGCACTCCATTGGGTTTATAGCTAATACTGAGTGGGTGGGGTGAATGGATGGATGCATGGGTGGGTGAATGAATGGATGGATTGATATGTGGTACATGTAGATGGAGGTTAGAGATCAGCCTAGAAAGTTTAACCGTGTCCCCCGGTTCCACAAAAAAAAAAAAAAAGAAAGCAAGAAAAAGTTTAACTGTGTCATTTATAGTTTAAACCAGGAACTTCAGAAAGTCCATGAAACTCCTAAAATCACACTCAAAATTTTGAAAGTTTGTGTCTGTTTTCCTTCTTGGTGTGGAGAAACATCAGACCAGCCTTCAACAGAAGGTCTGTATGCCACAAAAGATTAAGAGTCTCCCATTCAAACTAACCCTAGAAGTGACTGCATTCATCCCCCACTTCCCTCTCCCACACGCACACCCCGCAGCACACAGCCTCCTGTTCTGTCTATGTCACTGCCTGTGTTCTCTCCCCCTTTCCTATACAGTTCATCCATCCCAGGAGCCTGGCTGGTTGGAGGGGACTCTGAACGGAAAGACTGGCCTCATCCCTGAAAACTACGTGGAGTTTCTTTAACCATGGGCCCCGGCAGAAGTGCTGCGCTTTACATGGTATCCATGACAACTGCTGCTTCCAGTGTTGTAGCTATTTCTCATTGCCGCTGAGAAGGGCAAGGAAACTGACTCTTGCTACCTGTCATTGTGAATGTTTCCGGGAACTCCCGTCACCCATCTCCACCATCATCTCAGCTGATGTGTGACAATCCTGTAAGCAGAAGTGAATCAGGAGAGGAGGCCATTCAATTCTGATAAGCCAGAGAAAGGTTTGCAGAGCCTTCTTAGCAGTATCCTAAATGGGGAGTGCTGAATTTCTCTCAACAATCATCCAGACTCCATCCTTCTTAAAAAGAAAGTAAGATATAAGTTATATCTATGAGCAAGCAGTGTAGCTGAGTTGGACAGGGCAAGGCAGAGAAACTGACAGCAAGATCCAGACTGGCTCCATAGCTTTTGTTTACAGCTGACGTGCTTTCTGTGCCTGCTTCCGCAATTAGAGACCCATACTGCAGGGGCAGCAGCGTCTGTCTGTCTACAGGCAGGACGGAGAAGGGCTACAGCCCTGCTTATAGAAGATTCAACTTCTCAGCATCTCTCAAGCAGCCATTGGCCATCATCATCAAAATTCAGGCCAGCTTTCCCATGCAAAGGAGCAAACACCCGCATCCTCCCCTCCTGAGCCAGGAACTTCTTTGCCTCTGAGAGCTGTCGTTGCCTAGTAACCGTGGCAACTCCACTTACTCTAAAGCCAAACCAGACACTTACCCTGTCCTTTTCCTTCTTGGTAGTTTTGTTGGTGGTCTTCCAACAACCAAAACCAGAGGATCAAAGTATTAGGATGAGCTGCTTGGGGAAGACAAAACTGTCACTTTCTGAATTTCAGCAGCACCAGGATATATTTAGAGCAAACTCTAGTAATGCTTTGAGATTAAGTTTCATACAGGTTTAATATTTCTGTTGTCCACGCCACTGGTGTTTGCTTTCTAGGGGTCAAAATGGCACCTCCCAGGGGGTGACGCCATCTGACCAGTTCCCTACGTCTTCCCATTCACTCATCCCTGCCCCTGCCCATCACTGACCAGCCCCATGCAAAGCTTTGGGCTGCTGAGCATGGTTGTCCTGTGATTTTTTTCAGGGATGACTCTGGGGTTTCCCTGTGGTCTATAGTTTTAAAGGATATCTGCATCCACTGCCCCCGCCCCCCAAAAAGGGGAGTTTTAGGCTTTTGAGGCATGGGCCTGGTGACTCAGGAAGACAGCCAAAGGTTGGGGCAGGGAGGCTGGAATGATACCTTCTAAGAAAGGGAATTTCCTGCCCGACAGAGAGGGGGGCTTTTGGAAGACTGCCTCGTATGGAGATGCTCCACCGGGACATTTCAGACTCACTTGACCACCAGAGAACTGAGTGACCATAGCTCCCCCACGTGAGTGTCCTTGCAAGAGGGACTCTGGACAGACCAACTATAAACTGTCAAGCTCCCCAGGAGCCCCTCAGATAGCAGCATCACTCCAGAGAGCATATTCTGTTTCTGGAATTCCATTAGGGACCTTTAATGAAGAAGAAAAGGAAAAACTTGAATTGTGTTGAATTACTGTATCTTTTACTTTTCTCTTTAAGATAAACTTGTAAATAGAGTAATTTGAAATACTATATGGCAAAGTTTTATATTTGATATTCTTTCAGCTAGTTCCTGTATGTGCTTAGGCTTTAATTGCTGAATAAGTGAGAAGGAGGAGAAAACTGGGTCGAAGAGTCAAGGCTGCGGTCCCCTCTGGGCTGGTGGAAGAGAGGAGTCCTGTGTGCTCTCTGGTGGGGGTGACTCAGTGATGGCATTCAGCCTTCTCTAGCTACTCGTGTCCCGCAGAATTCCTCGAGCTCTGAGTTTAGAGATAGAGAGAATATCAGGCAGTGAGTGTTACAGAAAACATATAGCAGTAAGATGAAGCTCAGGATTTAAATAGGTGGGGCCAGAGGTGACTTTTATTTTTTAGTTTTGTTGTTGTTGTATTGTTCTTAGTTTTTTTCTTCTCAGGTGTATTTCTTGGTACCCCAAGATATCAGGCCAGAAGGAAATGCGACTATTGCTGTACTTTTTTTTTCTCCATTCTCAAAGGCTTTACAAATGAGGCCAGCATACTTTGCAGATTTTGTCTGTAGGCTCTAAAAAGGGTCTTCCGTTCTTGCTGTGCTGTGCAAGGCTGCTTCCCTTTCTGCAAATGTGTTCCTGCTCTTCCCTTTCAACTGCAGATTCCCTGTGACCCCAAAATAAGAAAAAGACCCCAAGATGAACATAAGTTGAGCCATCACAGTTTTAAAGATTGCTTTAAAGTTAACAGATTTTGTCATCGTGATCCACTATTCAGTTACCATTTCAAAGGTTATGAAGTACCTGTCCTCCAGGACCTCAGCCAGGAGCCATCAAGACCCTCCTCCTGAATCAGGGAACACGAGTGAAGTGTGGACAAGCTCATGACAGGACTCAAGAGTATCCCATTGACAACCCAAGGGATAAAAGGGATGGACTCTTCGGCACCAGACCTGCTCCCCTGGGACTTGGGAGTGAGAAGAGAGCAGGGAATGGGGCCTAGGGGGATCGTGCTCACATACTGTTGTGGTTTCCAAATTGGAAGCACCCAGCAGAATGCTTTTGATACCTTTGATGTTGTAAATTGTCACCGGCTCTGTCATAACTGGGGCTCACATGGAGAGCCAGAAGGCCAAGGCTCTTGTTTAAACACACTTGGAGACACTTGGCCCCAGCCTGTCTGGAAGCCCCGCCCCCTACTGAGATGGCACTGATTGGGAGTGCCAAGGAGACTTTATAGGAGGACCTCTGTTGTGCTTCACGGAGGCTGCACAGGGCCTGTGACAGATGGATGCCATTTGCCTTTGTGCCCCCAGGCTTTTCTCTTTCCTGTTCACTGGAAGAACTGTTCAGGATGGGAGCCACCAAGTCAGAAGGGACTTAAAGATTAAAAAGAAATTTTACACTCTCCATTGTCTGCCCCCACTCCTAATTTTGCTTAAATAGGGAACTTTAAGGCATGGATTGGTATTAGGATAGAAAACCATTCACCAGGATTCCTAACTGGTCCTTTATGAGGCCCAGGAATCAGCTAGTTATAGCTCCAGTCTTCTTGGGGCATTAAGTTTCAGAATTCCATAGCTACGCAATATCATGACATGAGAAGATAGCTGACAGATCCATGCCCCCAGTCAAGTAAAATCCTGATTTACTAAGACTAGGAAATTCCCATTTTTCAAAATAAATATACAAGGATGTATTGTATACAATGTAGCCTTTATGGCATCCTAGCAGTAGAACCAGTTTTTTGGTGTGTTAATAAAGTATGTGTTTTTATGAGAGGTTTTTGGACAGGCAAAAAGAGAAAATAAGCAACAAGAACCAGCACACTGGTAGTAGCAGGACAGACCCTCTGCTTGTGGCGTGGTCATTTGGGGCACTTGCCCAAGACTCCAGAGATGTGCTTGCCATAGCTGAACTTGAGGAAATACTCTTCTGTCAGCTGAATTTGTCTTCTGAAATTGGTAGTCACCAGTCACTAAAAGCTCCCTCATCCTTAGTTCCCCCACGCTATGATTGAGGAGTAAGGGAGACAGAACGCTAACTCCAACCTCATCATCAGCTCATAAGTATTTATTGGCATCTTTCATCTTCCTTCCTCCAAAAGTAAGCCTGGATCCCCTAGCTTAGAACACAGGACTCGCAGGTATACCAGGGGCCACCGTGGCCCCATCATTTGCTCTAGCGTTGTGTCATGAGCAACCATATCGCCTGAGCAGGTAGCCAGCACTGAAGGAACTAAAGAGCCTCTTAGCTGCCTGACTTTCAGAGGAATGTCCTAGGCTTCTGCGAGCAGGTATGTTGACAGACCTGTCCCACATCCCTTTAAAGGCAGCGCAGTACCTCTCACACACCCTGCGCTAGTGTTTTAAAAATGTATCTTATCGCACTCAGAATGTGTTTGGCAGCCACACAGATCAGCTAGGTGCTGAACCACTTCTCTGTAATTGTAACATCAAAATGACAACAGCACAGAGCTGTGAAATTTGCACAGTTCTACAGCATACCTGAGACAAGAATCCAACAAGTAATAATTAGTATTCTTCCTTTTGCCACCTATAGTACTTGTCTAAAGAATTTTCCACAGCAGCGAGGCCTCATGGAGAATCCAGATGTCATTCAAAGCCCAGCCCTTGCTGAAATGTGGTCTCCTAACAGGACCTGTCCTTGTGGGGGAAAAGGTCAGATGTAACACCAAGCCAGAGAAAGAGAAAGGCAGACCATACTGAGGAATTTTGAATGTTTTCAAAGGAATAAAAGTATTGCTCTTGGGAGGAAAAAAAAAAGCCTATCAGAAATATTTCAAACAACTATTTTTACAAAGGTTTAGTAGGACATTACGAAGTGAAAATATCTTAAGGTGGATTGCTTTAGAAAAGAAGCCTAGCGTAGTCCCAGATACCTAGAAGGGTGGCACTTAACTGAGTCAATTGTTGTGTCAACATTTGCATTTGTGTAGTCAAAGGAGACTATGCATAACCAAAATGTCTGGGTCACTTGGAGAAACCCCAGACTGGCGAAGACACTCTGCCATTCCATGTCAGTCATTTCTATAGTCATCCAAATGTGGAGACCTTCAAGCAGCTTTCTTAGGTCTTTAGATGTCAAGATCAGCTTTGGATCTGAAAAGATACATCTGATTATTCCAAAATATATGTGTATGTGATTGTGTGTGTGTGTGTGTGTGCGCGTGTGCATGTGCACAGATACAGACGTTCACATAGAGACCCATCTCAAACTGGTAGTTACTGGGCAGTTACAGCCTTGAAGATTTGGAGACTGAAAATTGCACACACAAAAAGAGGCTATCGATTACCCGCTGGACGATCAAAGATGTAAATTAAGTGCCATTTTAAAATGTGTTCATGTTTATCAGCTAGATACCTGCAGCTGTGTTCCTTATTAACTTATTAAAAGTCTTGTTTGAAAAATGATCAATCCCATAAATGCTTAGTAGCTAGTGCTAGGCTAGTGTTCAGAAGCACTCTAAAAAACATTTTGTCCATATTTTGGGAAAGAAACTATTTGCATGTTTAATTTATAATTTAGGCTACCTTTGATTGTACTGTAAAGTGCTGTGTGATATATCAATAAAGTACTCATAAAATGGCACTTTAATGTTTTCGTTTTAAAAATACCATAAATAATGCACTGTTTTGAAACTTCAGTATTGAATATTGACTGGTGCATAGAATCAAATTCCATAATTTAACAAAGGAATCTGTGATTAGAATAGAATTTTTTCCCTGTTATTAGAGAAAGTTTGCCATGTTCAGGCTTTTCTGAAAAATGTGTTTTGTGTCACTGTGTTTACCTACAAAGAAAATACACTTTCTGCTGAAGGCCTCTGAAACTTAGCTTTCTTACATTTGGTTGGTTTATGTGACAATTCCTATGAAATGAGTGGAAGTATGATTTTTGAATTAAATGACTTTTCCATTTGGTGGTATGTTTGTTTCTTGAATTTCTGGTACATTTTAACTTGAAATATATTTTACTATTTCTTCAAATAAGCACATATAAGCTCTGACCAAAGATCTGCCCTAGGGGCCGGGGAGATAGTAGAGTAAGTGCAAAAAAAAAAAAAAAGATCTGCCCTTGTTGGTGACAGGGCTGGCTTTCTTTTTGTTCATTATACTTTTATTTTGAAGAGTAAAAACAAGAGAAAAACAAAAGCAAAGACAAACGGTAACATGTAACAACACATACATTACAGATTTTCAAAACAAAAATAGCTGATTAACAGTGATTAATATATTTTTGTCAAATCTGTTGCTCAGATGAACAGATATTAATACCTGCTATGCAAGATGGGACATATGATTGAATATTAATTACCACATGCTTTCAAGAAATCTTCAATTTTTGTTCTTGACTCATTTTCCTTTATTACCTTTTTTTAAAAAGTTACTTTAAAAAGAGTATAGTAATAATTGATAGGACATTAGAAATGGTACACATTTAGAAGATCAAGATGCCAGGTATTTCAAGCACGTATATGTACAAGTTGGATAAGGCAGTTGTCCTAAGAATTTCCATCAGGTTTTTGAAAATAGCAGTTACTCCGTAGAATTCTCACCCTAACTCTATGTTGGTATCTGTGAACTAAGCAACTACATTAAAGACAACAATGTGTAATACTAAAACCATGCTTGAAATACCTGTCATCTTGGTCTTCTAAAAGGCTGGCTTTCTGAGGAACACTGAGGGGCTCTATCCCAGTGACACTTTTCTTTCGGCAGTGTTGAGGATTGTAGCCTGGCTGCTTGCCTCGCAGGCGAGTGCACTACAGCCAACCTGTATCCCTGGCCTTGATTTCTAGTCAGGAAGTAGTCAAATGCTCTTCCACTTGGGAATATATTGCACCATTAAGTTTTGTCTTCTAAAACACATAATTGTTTTATTTCTCCTAAATTCAGTATTCTAATCAGGCTTTCATGGAACTTCATGAACCCAGCATGGCACCTTCCAAAGATCTGGAACACAAGCAGTGCCACTGTACGTCTGTACAAATGGTTGTTTGGAATGTGGTGCGTGTTGCTGCAGGCCAAGCCATATGCCTGGATTCCCTATCCGTCATGCCCCTGCAGCGACATCCTGAGCTGCAGCGTGGGACCCAGGTTTACAGTGAGCTCTCAGCTTGCACTGCAAGTTCAGGGGCCTCATTGTCCTCTGTGAAGGTCAGAAATGGTGAACCAGGGCCCAGACCCTGAAGGCGAGGCTTCTAATTTCAGATGGTTGTCTAGAGCCAGGAGGAAGAGATGGAAGGCCCCCTTGGAGCTGACCTAAGGAGGTGGTTATTAGAGTCTGGTGCTCACCCAAGAGACACTGGCATCATCCTCCTGTGCCAGTAAAGGCACTGGTTTACCTGCTGTAGATGGCATGGGCTTCCAGAATCTGCTCCATTAACCAAGCCTACAGGTTCCTCTGGAAAACTCTCCTCTGTGGGTACCCAGAGCCTCCTGTGTGGGTACCTGCATCCTGCATTCACCCCGTGAAGCTTCTCAGGTGCGGTACACATGCCCATCTGATGCCGTTCAGAACAGAATGGGCTACATGGTGTGTGTCCGCATCCTAGTCGTGGCCTTGGCTTTTCCAGTAGACTCCCCAGTCACCTCAGCTTTCACATCTTTCTGATGTGACAGGTCTTCATTTTCATTTTCATTTTGCTTATAGCACCCTCTCAGACCAGAGAGTCACATCCTGTGGTTGCCCCTTGTTTTTCGTTTGTTCTGGCTGCATGGTGAGTTGTAAGAGCACCTCTGTTAGAAATGAACTTGATTGATGCTAGAAATGAGAGGCAAATGTTAGATGGTATGAAAAAAGGCTTTCTCAGACCCCCAACATGCTCGCTGTCTTGACAGTTATGTCATGGCTCTAATTCCTTTTCTCAGTTCTTTCTCCACCTCCACTCAGATACCACATGTCTCTTCTACCCCCAATGTGTCAATATCATCGGCCTGCCTTGCTTTTAATAGCACTAAGCTAAGCTGCAACTCATTAACTGTGCTGAGCTGGTCTATATTGGCCAGCTCCAGCCTGCAAGCAGCCAGGGGAGGCTCTGGCAACATTCGCTGTTCAGGGTGGGTGAGGCTGTTTGCATGGGGGACCTTCCAATAGCTGTCCTTAGGATGGGGCGAGACCATACCATGGTGCTTCCCCAAGAAGTACGGGGAAGTACGGGGTCCAAGCAGGGTAGCAGAGACTAAGGCAGGAAGGTTTTCCGTTGAAATGAGCAAAATCGAGAACTGCAGTACTGTACGGTTCTCGACAACTCCTTCACACTGCCTATCTCTCCAGCCTCTTACATAACTGAGCCTGGAGGCTAGCCACACCCTGTTCAAGTCCAGCTAACTAATGTCTTCTTAACATCAGCTGTCAAATCAGTGTAGATTAGAATTCATGGGTCCTTTCATCAGGTACGAAATCACATGTAGATCTTATATCTATCCTAAAGTTCACATATGTGTTCTGACACTGGCTGAATGCCCTTCTTGCATTTTGTGGAGGTAGAGAGGTAGGTTATTAGATTTTTTAAAAATTAGAGTGTATTTTGTTTTCCAAATCCTTCTTTGTGAAGAAAAAAAGCTGAAGCAAACTGAGTTTCAGTAGACTTGGATACTTGAGCACATGGTAAATGTGACCTTTGGCATATAGCGTTTGTTCACAGGCTAAGACTGAGTTCTGTCAGTGTCAGACCTCCTTGCCCAGTTCAGGGACACAGCCCTGTTCCCAGCCTCTTTAAAAGGTGAGTGCCACACGGAACCGTGAGCCAAAATACCCTGTTGCTATCGGTGTTACATAGAGGTGGTTTCATGGCCCTCACATCAAGCTAGGGCTTACATTCAAGCAAAACCACCTCAGAATCGCCTCACACATTAAAATTCTGCAAGGCCGCATGGGAATTAGGTCTGTCTCCCGAACTCTGGCTAAGGCAATTCTTTGTGTCTGGGTGAAATTTCCCACATTTTCAGCTTAAGTCTATTTCTGTTCAGATTTTCCTAGAATGGAGAATAGTTGACCATCAGCCTTTGAGAGCCATCATCCTCTGTTCTGTGTTTCCATTCAGTAGTTCCTTATCACCCATCTCGTGTGTGCCCAGAGCTACTTCATGAGGAACTTCTGTCCTCCCAGAACTCAGGGCCTCTGGGAGAGGTGGCTGCCATGTGGGGACTAAGAACCAAGGCTGTCAGAAGAGATGGGACCTTCAAAGAGGGAAAGGAATTTACCAATTAGGCAAACAGAATTGGTCACAAGCTAAAGGACAGCAAGGACCAAGTCATGAAGGTACAAGACAGAGTCTGACCCCAGTATGACTGGGACATGAAGAGATACAGCTTTCTGGAGAAATCCAGTACCCTTGCCCACACTCCACCTCTGCTTTTGGGCTTCTGTTTTCCCTCAGTGATGACGTTAGCCAACGTTTATTTCCTACTGGGCTCCTGGCACTGATATTCTTGTTCAGTCCTCAAGATGTGAACATCACTACTGCTTTATAGGTGAGAAAACTGCCTCTCAGGCACCTCACACAAGCTAACAAGAGGCAAACTTGAAATTCCCACAGTCTATCTGTTCCTAGAGCCCATTTGCCCTTTTTTAAACTTCCTTAAAATTTTCTGGACTGGGGATGTATCTCCGGTGGTAGAGTATTTGCCAAGCCTAACCTAATCTCCAATGCTGCTCAAAAAACCCACAAAAACCAAAAAACTTTAGGTAGACACACATGAGTGTTCCAATACATACACCTAGTCTCATCACAAGGGATTACTTTGTAATCTGCTGGCAGTTTTAGACTTAGCTATGCCATCCCTCCCTAGCAGTCTCCTCCCACTCCAGAGCTGATGGCAACAGCTACCCTTTGCCTTTCCCAGCAGAGAGCCCTTTACAAGCACGGCCTCTGGCGTGCACACAGCCCAGGCTTTGCAGAGGCAGGAATAGGACTCAGAGTGTTTTGATTATAGAACCGTCTTCCTTGTAGCCCCTAGCTCACTCTCCTTGGTCGAGTGGTGCCCATGTGGGAAGTCGTGCAGATGCTCCTAGTCCTCTAGAGAGCCCCAGGAACCCCAGCTGCAAGCCTTGGCGGCCTAGCCAGCCCAGTGCACACTGCCTGGGGGCAGCCCTTGCACAGGGCCAAGCCCTGTTTTGCTGGCTGAAAAGTATTATGAGTGTGTGTGTGTGTGTGTGACTTAATAATTTGAAAACACCCTGATCCAGCTGCTGAGGACAGACCTATTACTGGCTCTTGTGGGGTCACCAGGGAAATCTCATGAGCTTGTGTCTTCTGGTGGGAGAGCCAGTATTTGTAGCCCTGTCTGCTATTGTTCAAAAATGGACAATTTTTGTTGCGTTTTTAACTCCTTAAGCCTCACAAGATTTGAAAAAAGAGCTATAGGAGTGAGCAGTCAACAGCTGAGATCCTGTAGTTCCTGCAGGGCTAACCTGCTCCATGTTAAGATGACAGTGGTGACATAGTTCTCATTTACGGAATACTTCCATGTTTTGGGCATCAGAGTTTCATTGGTTGATTTATGTTGATTTATGTATATCATTGATCTGTGTTCAGCATCTCATTTAGTCAGCTCTGTGAAATGGGTGCTGTTTTTTACTCTTGCAGATGAGAAAGCCAGGTACTAGGTTGGGCAACTGGTTCAAAGTCATGAGTTAATGAGTAACGGAGCACAGATGTGACCCAAACTCACCTCAGGGCTTGTGCCCTTGACTCCCACACCTCCTGACTCTGGGAAGGGCTCAGGGGCCCCACCCCTGCATGCCCTTCAGCTCTCCCATCCCAGGGGAATAGCTGCTGTGTTTATCTGGTTGGCCTTCTGCGCTACCTTTCCTATGGGGGTTTCTCGGGGCTTCCTGGGGGGAACCTCCTGCCCCTCCCTAAGGTCCCAAGGGTTGTGTGGTCTGACATCAACTCTGGATCCAGTGGTGACCATGT